ATTGAGTACATGTACAGTAAATGAGCATACTTTCCAGAAGGCCAACAATTCTCTAAAAATGTTTTTTTTTTATTGGTCTTATGAAGTATTCTAATTTGTTGAGATAGTGAATTGGTGGGTTTTTGTTAATGTGAGCCAAAATCATCACAATTAAAAGAACCAAAGACTTAAATTCAATGCACACAGACTGAAGTAGTTTAAGTCTTTGGTTCTTTTAATTGTGATGATTTTGGCTCACATTTAACAAAAACCCACCAATTCACTATCTCAACAAATTAGAATATGGTGACATGCCAATCAGCTAATCAACTCAAAACACCTGCAAAGGTTTCCTGAGCCTTCCAAATGGTCTCTCAGTTTGGTTCACTAGGCTACACAATCATGTGGAAGACTGCTGATCTGACAGTTGTCCAGAAGACAATCATTGACACCCTTCACAAGGAGGGTAAGCCACAAACATTCATTGCCAAAGAAGCTGGCTGTTCACAGAGTGCTGTATCCAAGCATGTTAACAGAAAGTTGAGTGGAAGGAAAAAGTGTGGAAGAAAAAGATGCACAACCAACCGAGAGAACCGCAGCCTTATGAGGATTGTCAAGCAAAATCGATTCAAGAATTTGGGTGAACTTCACAAGGAATGGACTGAGGCTGGGGTCAAGGCATCAAGAGCCACCCACACAGACGTGTCAAGTAATTTGGCTACAGTTGTCGTATTCCTCTTGTTAAGCCACTCCTGAACCCCAGACAACATCAGAGGCGTCTTATCTGGGCTAAGGAGAAGAAGAACTGGACTTTTGCCCAGTGGTCCAAAGTCCTCTTTTCAGGTGAGAGCAAGTTTTGTATTTCATTTGGAAACCAAGGTCCTAGAGTCTGGAGGAAGGGTGGAGAAGCTCATAGCCCAAGTTGCTTGAAGTCCAGTGTTAAGTTTCCACAGTCTGCGATGATTTTGGGTGCAATGTCATCTGCTGGTGTTGGTCCGTTGTGTTTTTTGAAAACCAACGTCACTGCACCCGTTTACCAAGAAATTTTGGAGCACTTCATGCTTCCTTCTGCTGACCAGCTTTTTGAAGATGCTGATTTCATTTTGCAGCAGGATTTGGCACCTGCCCACACTGCCAAAAGTGTTAAATGACCATGGTGTTGGTGTGCTTGACTGGCCAGCAAACTCACCAGACCTGAACCCTATAGAGAATCTATGGGGTATTGTCAAGAGGAAAATGAGAAACAAGAGACCAAAAAATGTAGATGAGCTGAAGGCCACTGTCAAAGAAACCTGGGCTTCCATACCACCTCAGCAGTGCCACAAACTGATCACCTACATGCCACGCCAAATTGAGGCAGTAATTAAAGCAAAAGGATCCCCTACCAAGTATTGAGTACATGTACAGTAAATGAACATACTTTCCAGAAGGCCAACAATTCACAAAAAAAATTTTTTTTATTGGTCTTATGAAGCATTCTAATTTGTTGAGATAGTGAATTGGTGGGGTTTTGTTAAATGTGAGCCAAAATCATCACAATTAAAAGAACCAAAGACTTAAACTACTTCAGTCTGTGTGCATTGAATTTATTTAATACACAAGTTTCACAATTTGAGTTGAATTACTGAAATAAATGAACTTTTCCATGACATTCTAATTTATTGAGATGCACCTGTATGATTGCTGAAAAAATGTGTATCCTCTTATTGAGCATTGATGGAGTAACACATTTTGTGGTAAAATAAATCATAAAAGTGCTTTATTTTTTTTTACAAATCATATAAATGTATGAGGTAGCAAATTTTTCACTTTTCACACTCGGCATGAAGCTAAGGCCCCCTGTATTGATTGAGTATTGAATACTTTAGCTAAAATAATGTATATATATATATATATATATATATATCTCATAATATCAAAACAATCACTTCAGCAAAATGTGTACCTTATTGTGCTGAATATGATTTATTTAAATATGATGGTTTCATTATAGATAAATGATTGAGACCTTTGTACATTTGGTTATTTTAACAGTTATCATTGGCTATTTAAATCTATAACATTTAACAAAAGACAAAACAAATAAAAACATTAAATATTAGATCAAATTTGCTGTTCTTTGCTGTCTCCAGTCACATCAAGGATCAGTCAAATTTTCATGTGTGAAATGCTTTCATGTTTAGGAAAGTGATGTGGTAGATTTTAAGAAAATAAAACCAAATGCACTTTTATACTGTTGTTCAGAGCTTAATAACACAATCTGAAAGAGACCTGTTCAGGGTAAAATTAGACTCTAGTACATACCTACAGTAGGTACAAACAGGTGAAACCCAATGTGAAAACCACCTTAAAAACACACATTATCTGAGCTTGTTTAGTCAGGTTTAATGAATTCGTGCCTTATAAGGATGATGTTCATTCAGAAGCTCGTTGCTTGCTGATTCTGATAGTGTTACTCAGCAGGTTTCTGCTCTGTGGGGGAGACAGTATCAACTTCCTGACCTGCTGTAGAGACCCAGAGATGCAACACTGTGTGTCGTCTCCCACACACATGATCTTCCTGTCCCTGTGTTTTTTAAATCAATTACCTCTCTGTATACTCCTTTAACTTTTAACCCTGTCCTCTTCTAACTAAAACAATAAAGAAACCCATAGGTCAGTCCAGAACGTTCACTCAAGCTGATGTCTTTCTCCTCTCATTTCTAGTCCATCGGTAACGCCAAGACCACCAGGAATGACAATAGCAGTCGATTTGGAAAATACATTGAGATAGGCTTTGATAAGAAGTATCACATTATCGGTGCGAACATGAGGACATATCTCTTGGAGAAATCACGTGTTGTATTTCAGGTAAGGAACAAGCATGCATGACATATCAAGCCCATTTTCCACTCTTTCTCTGGCATTTAAAATTAAACAGGCTGTTTGCTACTGTACCTTTAAAACTTGACTTATGTCAGGATTGCCTACCCTTTTTGATGAAATGAGTAATTGTGCTTTTGGTATAAAATCCTATTGAGATATAAATTTGGGTAGTCATATGTTAATGTATTGTGGTTGTGGTGCCATACCAATTTCTCAGTCACTTTTGTAGTCTTCATTTTTATTTTGAATAGACTGAATTTGAATGAATGGTAGAGTATATCGACTAGTGGTTCAGCGGATCACAAATCTCACGGTTCGGATCACATTACAGTTTTTGACCCACGGATTGGATCATTTTTCAGATCAGCAAGAAAAGAAAAATATTTCAATTTAACTTGCTTTCCATTTATTACTTAAAGCAAAGTACTTCTTTGATACCACAGCAAATACTACTAGATTAACTAAGAAAGTTTAAACATGATTAAAGAGACAAGAGAACAGCCAGTAAAAATAAGAACAAATACACAATAGATAAATACAACAGAATATGTTACAAATAAAATAAGGTTGGTAGTATTCAAATACAGAAATGTAATAATTAGGGAACATAACACTGCAGAGTGTTCACTGTATAAATTAAATGTAGATTTTTATCACAGCTGTTTTGTTGTTTGATGATCATTAATGAGAGCAGCAGTATTTATTGGCCGCTGTCCCTTTAAGACCTGATGCACGGATCCGATATAATGATACACATCACATCTGATTTCTTTCTCAGCTGTTTTCATTCACTTGAGACATAACTGACTGCGTTTACCTGAATGATTGTCGAGATGGGTATTTTGTCATAATTGTATGTGTATGTGTCTGTTCAGAGGATTCAGAAAAGGATTTAGTTCGGTGTTCGCGTGCCGTCTGAAACGTGTGTGCGCGCTTCATGTGTGTGTAGAGAACAGCACGGGAGTAACAAATCGAGTTCCCTTTCGCCTTTTCTCTCTGGAATTGTTTCAAATTTGCTTGCTTGTGTAAATACGATCAAATGATAAACTTATACTCTTATTATGGTTCAATTTTACAATTAATCCGCAGATCACATGCGTGCCAAACCGTGGGGCTTGGTCCATACGGATCACGGATCAACTACGATCCGTTTAACCACTAATATCGACATAGTGTATCAAACTCTTTTTCATTTCAAAAGAGCAAAGCAAATCCATTTAACAAAGACACACATACATGAATGTTTAAAAATCAGTCCAGAAAATGGTAGTGAGAAGACCATGGAAATCTATGTGCCTTTCAGATGGAGATGTTGATTTCTCTCTTTGCCCTCATATGTGACTTTCCATGCCGTTTTTTCCCCCCTCTGGAATATTGAATGAATGTGTGGTTTCTTCTGTTGAGTCTTAAACTAAAAGCCTCCTGTGTTTCAGAATTACCACCAGATGTTATCAAAAACTAGTGATCCAGAGATTAACTCTGTGTGCACTTTTGAAGCTTTTTAATGGTTTTTAATATGTTCAAAAAGGTTTTGTGTCTAAAACGCATTGGATTAGAGACATGGCTTTATATATACAATGAAAAAAACAGCTTTTCTGAGGTAAATGTAAAATTATGTCACATTGTTTACAAACCGTTTTATTGACGTCCTGATTTAATCTTTCTAAAGCTTCCCAGAAGGAGAAAAACCCTCTGAATTCCAGCCGTTTGTCACACCATGGGCCAAATGAGCTGATCAGTTTAGGGCCAATAATAGAAGTGCAACCCTGGCTAACAATCTTAAACTATATCTTTCAGATTTTGGCAAGGGAAGGCCTAAAACTGTGTCAGTGTCTAAAATGGTTTCATGGTTGAAACACTGATTGATCGATTATAAGACATGGTACATTTCTTCTGATGTTCATTCATGTTTATTTTGTGCTATAACTAGTAGTAAAACGGAAGAGATGAATGGTTCATTCACGTTCTGTGCTGCCGCTTGAACTGAGGTGGCTACAGTGATCTGTCTGTGGTATTTATAGTTTGAAGGTGTTTATTGCTTGAGTTTTGTTATGAAATTGACAGTTTGAAACCTGAGAGTTTGTTTCATATCAAAAGTAACAAAGAACAAAGCTTATTGCAATTTATTAGCTGGAAATCATGATCAATATCAGTTTATCAAAATCAGAATTGATTAAAATAGAAAAACCAATACTGCAATATGAATTCAGACTAGAATTTGAAACTGCTTTGAGGAATGGCATAGGACAGTGTACACATACAGGAGCAGCCAGCTGCCGCACCCTCTGAAGCACACCACACTTCCTGCTTGAGTCAGCTCTAATTTTAGCTCCTCTCAGATACCTCAGGGATTTAATTCACAGGGCTATTTTCATTCCTTGAAGGCTCCTGTGTCCTTCTACACTTCCAAGACTCCATGGTGAGCTATCAACTAATATTATTCTGCCTTCTTGGATAGTACCCTTTTTTTTTTTGGTATCCAATTCCTTCACAGAGAAGACACTTCCAGAATGCACTGTGATAAGTTCAGAAATAAGATGAAAAAATGTTGATTAAAAATATATCTCATCCCATGCTGAAAAATATCAAGTTAAATCAATTTTAAATGAATGAAAATCAAGTTTTAATTACAGCCACTATTTAAATGTTTATATTTCAACAATGAATTAATATATCATTAATAATCGTTGATATAAAAATGAACTAATGTGCATTTTTTTAAATATAAAACAGTTTTTGAGTGTTGATTATTAAATACATTTGATTAATTAATTTTTTACTGAATAAATGGTATTTTAACTTTATTTTGCTGCTAAATACAAACTTTAATTTAGGTTTTGGTGTTCACTGACACAGTTTTAGGCCCTTCGCTTGCCAAAATCTGAAAGATATAGTTTAAGACTGTTAGCCAGGATTGCACCTCTATTATTGGCCCCTAAACTGATCAGCCCTACATAAACTATCTCATTTGGCCCATGGTGTGAGAAACGGCAGGAATTCAGAGGGTTTTTCTCCTTCTGGGAAGCTTTAGAAAGATTAAAACAGGACAGGAATGAGGATAATGGAGTTAAACATGTCTGTTCAGTGTTATGTAACATACTTTTACAGACTACTGTTGTGCTTAGGGGAATTCCAGATGAGTTAAGTGTGTGTGTGTGATTGTGTAAGATGCAGAATTTGACTTGAAATATACTTTATGCAAGTATGTATATGCAGACTTTAATGCTGTTTATAGCTGTTTATAATACATACTTAGAATGCATTACTCTGACAGTAACGTGTTTCACCACTTTTGAGTGTGGTGTTTCATCACAGAAACCTACATCTTATTCACTAATCACCTACAAGCTGCACGGGTATGTGCCTTCTCTTTAGTGTGAATGCTCGTTTCTATATAAATTAGGTATTTTAGATGTATTATGCACAGAAGTCAGTGCTATTTGTCTGGCACCGGTAATGTTGTCTTATTATTAAAAATAAATATTTGTGTACAGTTTGCTTTTACGCATCAAATGATAATCTTTTAAAAACAAAATTACACTGACAGAGGGTGCAATTCATTCTTAATGAATTCACCTCTTTTATTCTTCTCCTAAAGTTTTGATACATTTTTATGGTCTAGTTTAATGGGACAAAGAGGCAGAGTGCATTTAATAGAGTTATGGATTTATATGTTTTATGGAAAATGTCTTTATGGGTTCTGAGGCTGGATTCATGAAATGAATCATCTTAAGAAACAAGTTAAGAAATTTCTTAAGGTAAATTCTAAATCGTATGTAAGAACGTTCCTACAGTAACCACAGTTCTTGGAAAAAATCTCAAAGTTCTATATATTTTTTTTCTATATTTCTATAACTATATTATAGTTCTATATTTCTGGTGTTATCTGGTTTTATTACATGGCAGTATTTGATGAAGACTTGCTTATCAACTCAAAGGTAATTGAGGTACCCATTTGAGTAATTTTCTATTTAAAAAAATTCAGGGAAAAATTACATTACACATAATCATAACATAATCATTGTTTTCATTATTGATTGGTCACGTCAGAGTAATCAGGGATATCCCCAGTAAAAGTAATATGTGTTACATGCAGCTAAAGTTACTGTATATTGTAATGCTTAAGATTTTAAACAAACCAATACATTAATTAAACATCTTACCTTTGCGTATTTAAGTTAGAGGTATCCTAACTTTAAGAGGTTATTTATTAAGTTATTTATTCTTTTAATTCCTGAAATGTTTTTAGAGCTTTAGAACAATTAATAAAAAATTACATCTTAATTAAATTAATTAATCTTAATAAAAAATGGAAATACAAAATTATTAAAAGAAAATAAAGCATGAAAGTTTGTAGGCTGTCCAGAATTTCTGTGCAGTCCAAATTCCTGTCCATTTATCATATTTAACTCAAAATAGAAAACGATTGTGTTGGATGGTTGTACTGGGATGGATATTTAGTATACCTGGTACTTTTTAAAAATTATCTTATGTGTTATTTTTGTTTTTCTTGCATCTTTTGTTTTTCAGGCGGATGAAGAGAGGAATTATCATATCTTCTATCAGCTCTGTGCATCTGCTCACCTCCCGGAGTTCAAAGCCCTGAAACTTGGTGAGCCAGACACGCAATGCAGTTTTAACAAAAGTATATAGGAAAAATTGCATGTTTAAAGGTTAGTAATATAGTAATTATAATTAGTTTTATATAAAAATAATTGAGAATAAAGTCTATAGCATGTCCCCATTTAAATACAATAGCTAACTAAACCTTAGGGCCCTATTATTTCTATATGCAGAGAAAGCTGATGGATCACAGAATCCAGTAATAATAATATAATTAACAGTAAATTGCAGAATGTCACAGAATTGGGCAAATATTGGATGAATAAATCAAAAGTATGGTTGTACAGTTTAAATAATTAAATCGTATTTAAATATCCTCTTATTAAATACACACATAAATTAAAAGGTCATGACAACCCATCAAAATAAAAGTTTGGTTTAACTTTGAAAAAGAAATGAAATTGTGAAGGAAATACTATAATATTTATATTATTAATAATAATATTAATTATTAATAAATATTACTAATGATTATAATATAATAATTGTCAGGATTCTGGACTCTCTGTGTTGTGTTTTTGCTCCCCATGTGCTCTGCTACCTAGTTTTCCTGTGTGTGTTTGATTGTTCATTGTTTCCAGGTGTGTCTCATTATTAGTTGATTCCTCGCACCTGTCTGTCCCTCATTAAGTTTAGTATAAATATGTAGTCTGCCTCATGTTTTCTTGTCGAGTCTTAAACGTCATTCCATGTGTGTCTCCTGCGCTCCCTATGTTAGTGTTCCTTTTCATTTGGTTTGTTTATTAAAAGTCAAGTTTTGAACGTCCTCTCCTCTCCTCGTTTCCCCCCTACGCACCGTGACAATAATAATGCAATTATTAAAAATGTATTCTTTTTTTAAAGTGTGGAGCACTTTGTTTGTCATAAAACAATTAAAGGAATTGTTATTTGTGACCCTGGTCCACAAAACCAGTCTTAAGTCGCTGGGGGTATATTTGTAGCAACAGCCAAAAATACATTGTATGGGTCAAAATTATAGATTTTTCGTTTATGCCAAAAATCATTAGGATATTAAGAAAAGATCATGTTCCATGAAGATATTTTGTAAATTTCCTTCCATAAATATATCAAAACTTATTTTTTGATTAGTAATATGCATTGCTAAGAACTTCATTTGGACAACTTTATTGATTTTCTCAATATTTAGATTTTTTTTGCACCCTCAGATTCCAGATTTTCAAATGGTTGTATCTCGGACAAATATTGTCCAATCCTAGCAAACCATACAATGGAAAGCTTATTTATTCAGCTTTCAGGTGATGTATAAATCTCAATTTCGAAAAATTGACACTTAAGACTGGTTTTGTGGTCCACGGTCACAATTATCATTTGCTTGCATATTAAATTGTGTATGTTTTATGCTTTATTTGATTGCCACCATTTTTACCATTAAATCATAAATCCGGAAAAAAATGAAAACAATCTATGAAAAAAATGTAATAAAACATAGGGCCCTATCCAATTGTTCAATTTATTAGACATTCTTTTTCTGATATTAACATTTAATTAAACTGTTAAAACAGAACAATTTGGAAATTGGGAAAAATTTAACCGAATTGGAGAGAAAATTAAAACATTTCAAAGGGCTCTAAAAATTCAATTTTTGTTTAATATACAATGAATAGTTGTTAAATAGTATAGGTTTCGTTAATTAGACATGGTTTTTGATGACAAAAATGTAGTTTAATAGAATCCAGAAAAATTTAAATCGAAAAAAACAACAGAATTTTGAAAAAAGTAAAACAGATTTTCATAGGGCCCTAGTAAACGTGTGTTTGTGGGTAACGTGTCTGATTAGAGTGTGTTCGTGTTGGCACAGCATGGCGAGAGTATATCAGAGATGTCCTACTGAGAGGCGGGCTGTGCAGGTCTAAATACACACACATGCTATGCAAACACACACAACCACATATGAATACTGTAGCTACTGTGGTTCAGTTTCACACACACCTCTTCTTATCATCTCTTCTCTGTTCGCTTCACCCACTTGCTCTGAAACACACACACACACACTGCTGGCTCTGTGCTCTCTCCTTCTGTTTGCCTACTCAGCTGACTTCCTGCTCAGCTGGCGCCCCGTTAATGTGAGGGTTTATGTGTGAGTGTGTATCTCAATAAGGTCTCTGTTGCCAAGCAATAGTGTATCATTCGTTTAATCTGTAAACAGGGCTTTGTATTTTTTACTATATCTGATTTTCTTGATGACCTGAAAGTAACCTTCTTTTAAAAGTGACCTGTATCCGATATCTGCATTTAAACTACACAGGCTTAACTTGACGTGGCTCAATGCATTAGACAGTGATATTAAAAGACCAAACTCTGCACACACTATTAATAAAGCATATCCTACTTTGTATAGAAAGTCTGATGAGTCCAGAATATGAATGCCAAAGTTTAGCTTATTGACGGAACTCATAGAAACATTTTTAAAGCGATAGGCTAGTTTCATCCTTACATCAAAATCATTAATTAGTACCGATTCTTCACGACAGTGATTACTGTATATACACAGATCCGCTGTACACATCCGTGGGTACTAATGGTCTAGCGGTAGAACTTGTGCTAATAGTGGGTCTGGGTTCTGATCCGCTCTCGTATAGTTTTTTCCTCATTAAAACACACAATGATGTTGTGATTGTGATTTCATGTGAATGAATAAAGACCCTCTACAACCGTTAGCAATAGACTGAAGCGCACATCTGTGCACGTGCCGCCGTCACTGATAACAGCGGCAACGAGCACTCAGCATGATTTTAAAAGCAACATATTTCAGCACCAGATCGCCTCTTATTCAACACAAACGAACAAAATTAATACTCTGCTAGTCAACAAGAGATGTTTCATTTGTAATAGATACAGTATATCTGTACTGCAAGATGTTTCAAAAACCTTTGACATCCAACTCGCTTTAACAAGGGAATATCCGATCTGTCTGCTGACATGGCAGCTGCACGTATCTGATTCATATCAGATTTATTTCCACAAATGAATGAGGCCTAAAACCGATCTGAGAATATCGGAATCCATGTGCTTTTTTCCTGCTTACACGTTCGTGGGCCATATCCGATCTGTCACATTGGGGTAAAAACATCGGAATTGGGTCACTTGAACCATGCAGTGTAAATACGGCCTAATTTCTTGTTCATTAAAGGGATGGTTCACCCAAAAATGAAAATTCTTTCATTAATTACTCACCCTCATGTTGTTCCAAACCCGTAAGACCTTCGTTCATCTTTGGAACACAAATTAATATATTTTTGATGAAATCCGAGAGCTTTCTGATCCAGGCCCAGAAAGGTAGTAAGGATAATGTCAAAAAAGTCCATGTGACATCAGTGGTTCAACTTCAATTTTATGAAGCTTCGAGAAACATTTTTTATGCAAAGAAAACAAAAATAGCGACTTTATTCAACAATTTCTTCGATGCACATTTACAAGAATACCACGATGCATACGTGTGCATTCCTCTGCTTGTAAACAAGGTGCAGCGCATCCAGGTTCTACGTCAGAATGCCAACTCTTGCGTCAGCAGCACCACATGCATGCGTCCTGGTACTCAAGAATGTCGGTACAGACTGGCACGGAAGAGAAGAATTGTTGAATAAAGTCGTTATTTTTGTTTTCTTTGCGGGAAAAAAGTATTTTCGTAGCTTCATAAAATGAAGGTTGAACCACCGATGTCACGTGAACTATTTTAATGATGTCCTTACTACCTTTATGGGCCTTGAACGTGGTAGTTGTGTTGCTGTCATTGCAGGGTCATAAAACTCTTGGATTTCATCAAAGTATCTTAATTTGTGTTCCGAAGATGAACGAATGTCTTGCGTTTGGAACGACATGAGGGTGAGTAATTAATGACAGAATTTTTATTTTTGGGTGAACTATCCCTTTAATGGTTGGGGAGTTTCTTGCACAATTATAGCTTTATTGATGAACATATTATTTCCTTGGAATAGATCCTTCAGAAGGTCTGCTGTTTGTGTATTTGTGTGGTGTTATTAATTTGTGTGTGTGTTTCCCCTCAGGAAAGGCTGATGATTTTCACTACACCAAACAGGGCAGGAACCCAGTGATAGATGGAATAGATGATGCCAAGGAGATGTCGACCACCAGAAACGCCTTCACACTGCTAGGTCAGACTTAAAGTTCAACGATTTCTCATGTCGTTGAAAGTTTAATGCTCAAAATAAGCAGCTCAGATGAGATAGAGATTAAATTACAGTATCTAATATCGGACTTTGATTCATTTCTAGTCAAAACTGTCTAAATTCTGTTTATTTTCATTTTAAATGTATTTTACTATCTGCACATGGATTTTGAATGAAATTTGCAAAATACCGTAAAATGCCCTTCCAAATGCAGAAATAAGGTGTAGTTTTAACCTTGCATTGTCCAGTGCTGATGGTTTAAATTCATATATTTCTATAAGCTACAAAATGTATGGCAGACTGAATCGATGCAGGACTCATAGGCCTAAGATTCTTAATATTCTGGAATAGCGACAGTAAATATAAATTAATAATGTATGTTCTTGCTTCAGTTCATGTTTCAAAAGTATATAATTGGGTCGGGAGATATTGTAGTAATTATTACAGTGAAAACGTAAGTAAAGTTTTATTCTAAACAATAACAAATAGTTATTTTTATTTGGGGTTGGGTTTATCCCATGAAACACAAACAGTGTTACTAGACTGACATTCTGTTCAAAGTCTCGGGAAGAAGTGCTAGAACTGTCAGCGGTGCCCTCTCACAAAAACTAGGTGCATGACGCCCCTCATCACGTATTGGACAGTCCACAATGCACTGCGGTGCAAACTCAGAATAATGTTGATTATAAACAAACACAAATTGAACTGATTTCTTGATTTTTCATATTGTTAATTTGTTGCTGTCTCTCTTCAGGTGTAAATGAGTCCTATCAGTTGGGCTTGTTTCAGATTCTGGCTTCAATTTTGCACCTGGGGAACATTGAAGTGAAGGATAGAGATTCGGACAGCAGTATTATTCTAGTGAGTTTCATGTTGACTTTAAAGTTCAAGTATGTGGATTGGCATTTTGGCTGATATCTACTGTGGGCGATTCTGTTGTTACATGGTAAAAATATAAACCAAATAACTGAATAAATGTCTTGAAGTGCAATGTCACTGTATGCATTTTATGACAAAAACTAGTAACAAATGTTTTGTTCTAATCAAATTTATTTGTATAGCACTTTTTACAGTACACATTGTTACAAAGCAGCTTTACAGAAAATCATGATGTTAATGTTTATAAGACCTCAATATCGTCATGAGTTGTAGTCTCATTTAGCAGATTAGAGCTGGGCAATAAAATAATTTACATATTTCGAAGATACAAGCAGTTGTGATATGCTATTTAGTATATATCACCCTCTGCGAGTATAATATACTGTATGTAGGCTCATAAAGTTGGACATATTTATCGATAGCACTTTATTTTACAGTCCACGTGTACATACTATACGTGTTATAGTAATGACAATAAGATTCAAGACTGGGTAATTACTAGGTAATAACTAGGTACTAATCTTGAACCTAAACCTAACCATGTAGTTACTTTATATTACCATTACTTTCTTAGATAAGTACATTGTAAGTACACGTAAGTGCACATACTGTAAAATAAAGTGCAACCTATTTATCTATCTATCTTTTGTATAAAGAGCTGGGCAATAGCATAGCCATATTTTGCAAATGCAAAAAAAGAAAAAATCAGGCAGACTTGCTCTAGTATATATTGCTTTATCTGAGTGTTTTGTATGTAACGTTATGCAGATGAAATTGGTTAGTGTATAATGTATATCCAACTTTAAATAGAGCTGTGCGATAATACAGTTTACATTTTTGTGACAACATTGTGGTTTATTTCAAACTTTAATTTAAGTTTTACAATTAATTGCATTTTTACACATACAGGATCATTTTTACCCAAATAGCCCAGAGCCTCCAATTTTAACTGTAAGAAAATGTTTCATTGTGTAGTAATGATGTAATTCTCTCTCTCTTTTCCCTCCAGCCGAATAATGGTCATCTGAGTGTGTTTTGTGAATTGATGGGTGTGACATATCAAGACATGTCTCATTGGCTGTGTCATAAGAAGCTAAAGACGGCAACTGAGACGTACATAAAGCCCATACCCAAACTACAGGCCATAAACGCCCGCGATGCTCTCGCCAAACATATCTACGCCAAACTCTTCAACTGGATCGTGGACCATGTGAACAAAGCGCTGCATTCTACGGTCAAACAGCACTCGTTCATTGGAGTCCTAGACATTTACGGGTGTGTTCATATGCACAGATACACACCTTTGAGAACAGACTACATTTCCTCTGAAAGATCTTAGTTTAGATTTACAGAAGTGAATTGTGATGTTTTGTTTTATTATTCCAGGTTTGAGACTTTTGAAATCAACAGTTTTGAACAGTTCTGTATTAATTATGCCAATGAGAAACTACAGCAACAGTTCAACATGGTGAGACCATCTGACCCACTCCACATGACACCAGATCTCATTAGTTCATGTTTGATTGTTGATAATTATGAATTCTGGTAGTAAATTGTGATGTGTCTCCTCTTCTGTCCCGTCGTGTGCAGCATGTGTTTAAGTTGGAGCAGGAAGAGTATATGAAAGAGCAGATCCCCTGGACTCTCATTGATTTCTATGATAATCAGCCATGTATCAACCTCATCGAGGCCAAGATGGGCATCCTGGACCTGCTGGATGAAGAGTGCAAGGTATATCTTGACGGAATTCACAGAATTTTTAATGTAAAATTATATAAAAGATTTTAAATTCACAGATTTGTTTTATGTTTTTTTTAGGGGTAATCTATCTGTCATAAGCTGTCAAATGCAATAGCAAATACTTAAACTAATAACAAAACATATAGGGCTGGGCAAAAAATAAATCGTTTTTCCGATTAATCGTTTTTTAAAATGACGTCGGTTCGATATCGATTCTCAAAAGTCACTTCATTAGCATTTACGGTTTCATTTGAGAAATCTACCGTCATATCACATACACAGCAGCTGGAAGCAACCCGTCAACATAAAAGTTTAGTTTAACGTTCTACTGTCAGAATATTTTACATTTTGGCTATTGCTACAAATATACCCCAGCGACTTAAGACTGGTTTTGTGGTTCAGGGTCACATATAACAAATACTTACATGCATGCACAGTTTTGAGGCAGGTTTAATCACCTTTTTGGTAACTTCATGACTTAACTGACAACATAACTATGACATTCCATTCTTGTAGTTTCTTTTGCGCTTTAACAGGAAATAATATAGACTTCAGTGCACGCCACAGCATTTGTGCATGCAGTTGAAGAGCATGTGTTGCGAGCACAGTATAATGGCTGACAGGACAGGAAAATTTGTTTTTACTGCCATATGGCCTGACAACATCTCATCTGACTGCAGTTCACTGTTGTTCTACTGAAGTCACCTGTACCTTTTCCGTCCTCGATTGACTAGCGCCTGGCGCTGAGGCGAAGTTGGAGTGCGCCTCTGAAAAGTCTCCCGTTTGATGTGGCCGTAAAGACATTCTGCGTCTAAATAAATGCAATTCTTGTCAAGAAAACAGAGACAGAAGCAGCAGTTGTGAGTGGGGTGGCCAAACCTAGCTCCACACCTGTGTTAATTGCGTTAAATATTTGTATGCGTTAAACTGAAAAAATGAATGCGTTCATTTTGACAGCACTACTGTAAAAACAATCAAACAAACAAATACTGTGTTGTGTAATTGTAATTACATAATCCTGTTTGAGACTACTGTTCTTACTTAATATACTGTACAACCTCTCTGTCTCTCTCTTTCTCTCAGATGCCGAAGGGTTCTGATGACTCCTGGGCTCAGAAACTGTATAACACTCATTTGAAGACGTGTGCACTTTTTGAAAAACCACGGATGTCCAATAAAGCTTTCATTATTCAGCACTTTGCAGATAAGGTAGACGCACACACACACAGCTCACACTCAGGCTGGTTCAGCATTTCTGATCAACTGTGATATACACAGTGCGTGTCATTTCATATACCAGTGTCTAAACAAAGACGAATTGTATTTCCGTTCTCTAAAACCTAATGAGCTGCCTCATACATACTGCATCTAAACAGTGCATAATAATTTCAACATATTAACAGATTGACAGCATTCACACTGCTTGCATAAGCCATGTGTCACTGTGTTCCAGTGCTGACACGCTGAACTGAGCAGGAAACATTGACAATGCACTTTAAGCCTATTTATCAACACACTCTTTTTTGTAATATAGATTTTATAAAGCATTATACGATTATGGAGCAATTTACTCATGTGTTGTCAAGATTCATGCAGAGTAACAGGCAGACAAATGCTTCCTGTTCAGTAAATCTGACTGAATCCATGCGATTTATGCAATTTACCTGGAGATTAATTACCATTTGGATGTACATGTTATCCACTTCGTATAAAATGGATCACAATATTTCATTTTGTAAAAACTGCAAAAGCTCTGTCAGATGGGCCACAGATGTATTATATGTGAAACAGACCTAGCATTTTAAGACATTGTAAAGACACTTCTGTCATAAAGGATGTTCTAAACAATAAATACTATTAATAGATATGAAATAGTTCTAAGAAACGTATTAGAGTATCATTTTGTTAGCTTAGCAACATGCTAACACAAGACTCTAGGGTCGAGTCTCCTGTGTGTGCTATTTGTATGACACAGAGTTGCTGCATAAGTTCTCACATGAGCTCATGACGGCTACAGATCTGTTTTTAGAAACGGTGTTCAATATCTATGAGGAAGCACTCATGGAGAAGGGGGTGGGGTAATAAGACACATAAGAGTGTGTGATGGACATTCAGTAAACACACATAGTTGAATCAGGGTTTGAGCATTAGTAGGTGCTTTCTCAAACATTCTCTGGGTTAAATCAGGCACCACTTTAGTCTCTAATAAGCATTGCTAATATAAATGCAACTCTAAATCATATAAAAAAAAATTTTTTATGCAAGTAAGGAATGTGACAATATTTACAAGTGCCAAATACAGAATCACTTGGACAAACGAACATATATACAGATAGCTAACATTTCAAGATCATTCTGATAACTCCCGTATATGTATTCTTGTGATTGTGAGCATGTGTGTGTGTGTGTGTGTGTGTGCGTGTGTGTGTGTGTGTGTCATTGTATGTAAGTGTGTGGGAGGAAGCATACAAATCACTGAGTATCTAACAGATTTATAACAGATATAACAAGTATAACTACAAAAAAAAAAAAATGACAAGACCAGTGGAGACAACAAGTATTGTAAGCGATAATGATGACAAAGATAACTATAACAACAATAATAATAATAAGGATTTCATTAAGATTAGGAAAGGGTGGAGGACAGTGAAGGATGCAAGTAATAGTAATTATATTATTAATAATAGTAATAAATTATATACATTTAATAGGTTACATAATATAACATGCCATTTATGCCCAGTGGAAAACAGGGAGGTTAATGGAGCTCTTAGTTATGATTTATTTAAGTACAATAGCTAATTGATCTCAGATGTTTCTTCTGAAATAAAAATGAGACAGGTTACAAAAGTAAAATGAATGAATGAATGAATATATAAGCTTGGTAACACGTTACAATGAAATTAAATTGGTTAAGATAAGTTTATCAGGTACAATATCATGAAACATTTTTTGCAGCATTTAAGTCGGCATGAAATTTAAGTTGCGATTATCTGTTTTTCATATAATGGCATATGTTTAAAATATATAATGATGTGCACAAATTAATCATTTATAAATACACTACAATATTAAAATAAGAATATTGTGGTGATTTAATAATGTTAATGTTTAATTAATGTTTATACTTGAAATGTAAAATGGTATTAATGTATGTAGAAGTTAACATTGACCTAGGTCCTAGGTTAACAAATGGTGTAAACTGCAGTCAGAATTTTTCATGTCAGCTATTGTGTGGACTAACTAAATGGTATCTCAAAAATACTAAAATAACAATATGTATAAAACCTTATTGTAAAGTTTTACTAAAACTTTATAATATAAAGACTTGAGAAGAATGGAGAAGGTTATTTTTTTTATTTTTTGCTTTCCATGTCATTTCACTGCTGACTTGGGGGAAAATACTATACGGATGCTTGTTCATGGACTGTCTTTCTTATAGGATAACCTCACGTGTCTGTCTTTGTCTGTCAGGTGGAGTATCAGTGTGATGGTTTTCTGGAGAAGAATAAGGACACAGTGAATGAGGAGCAGATACATGTTCTGAAGGCCAGTAAGGTGAGTGAATATCTGTCAGTCTGATGTCACCATTGGTTCATTTTCACAGAAAGATAATGCCCTCAACACCTTGAATAAGGCAGGCTAAACTGGCACAAAACAGAACTAGAAGGTACAAAATTTAGACCATTCCCATTATACTTGATGATGCTGTGTGCACTGGAAGTGGCCAACTGGCATCCTGTTACTACTGTATGTTTTTCACATTGTGTTGCTGCTGCAGCCACTACTTCTTTTTATTACAAATATAATGTGTAAACTGAATCTGTACGCTTATGAACAAGGGGTGCAATGATAAGGTGGACAATTCACAGGAAGGGTCAAATCGTCTTTGTAATGTGACCGTTTATAAACCCTGACATCGGGAGGTTTTAGTGAAGTATTGCCTGTATAGTGAGACAAAACCAACCTACAGTGTTAGCTGTAGCCAGGGTGTTTTCATCCAAGATTTTTGGCCTTAAATGAGGCTTAAAGTCTGAGAAGGTCAATGGAAGGGAGCCATCTGCTGGTCAAGGAGCATTTAGTGCAGTCCATTGCCACAGTTACAACATATGTACACAGCTGAGCTCAGGGATTCATATTTGTTCAGATTTCTAGTTGTTTGGATTCGTACATATCCTTGTCTTAGTTCACTATAATCTTGAGTCGCAGTATCTACAGATCAGATCTGTTTTGAAGCTCTAGCACAGAGCATTAGCATGACTCAGCAGCTCTGACTGCTCTTTAATGAGGCAGGTTCAGACAGAACGCCACTGCATACCTGCTCCTGTTATGAAGTCAATTCTCATTCTGTCAGCTGTGCCTTCAGGGTTATGGGTGTGTTCTGTTGATTTTTTCAGGAAAGTATTCAAACATATTTGGTAATCGAGACATAGGCAAGGGAGGAAGACATACGCTGAATGAAAGCCTCCATAGATCAGAGATTCCCAACCTTTAACAACTTAAGGCCCACATAATGTGTTGCATTGAAGATATCAAATCGTAGTTCCATAGCATTTTGATAGAAACCATGGTACTAAATAATTTCCGTATTTATTTGCCATGGTATTTACTTGGTACTCCAAGGTATATGCAAGAATACCATTGTGCTACGTTTTTTGTTAGTGAATAGGTTACAATAGCTTCTGTGATTTTATTGAACTGACTGAAAAAAAATGCAGGGGTTTCCACAGTCAAAAAAATAAGGAATATTGTTTTCTAGTTCGATTTTCTAGTTTAATCTATAGATTTTTCGAGGTATGCTTAGCTCAGACATATTTTAAAATGAAATATCTGAAAAAATGGCTTTAAAAAATAAAGTAAAATAAAAAATTTAACCTCTAGTAATAATACAAATAGTCCATAAATAAATACAAAGACATGGAAATTAATTATATGGATAATTTAATATTTACTGTAATACTTACATTCACTAAAATGATTCTGAAAATGTAAGTGAACTTTGCATTTTGGTTCTTATTAAAATCATTTTCTTCTGTATTTGGGGGTTTCTGAATGCTCTCTAATGTTTTGTCTCCTCAGCGTGAGGCAGTAAATGCGTGTGGTAAGAGCAAACACATGCTGTACTAATCCAAACTGCCTGGGAATAATAATAATGCCTCAAACTGAGTCAAGTCAAGAATTATTAAAAAAGATATTAACAATTAATACCAGTAATAGGCCTTATGCAGATCAGTCTGTTAGTGGTTAATCCAAATCCTTCACTTCACTTGTTCCACAGGTCATCTGGTTTAACCATATTCATTTTGCTTCACATTCATATCATTGATCATTACATCTATTCATATCATCATGTGTGTGTTTGCTTACCATCTATCATGTGCACATTTATATGTTCTTATGAATTAGAAGTAAAGCCAGACACCAGCTAAAAATCTTTACAAATTCTGAAGCTTTTCAATGTTTCTTCATCATTCATTGTGTCTTTATCATTTCAGTTAATTTATTCATCAAGACTAAATTTGACATTAGCCTGACAGAATCTGAAAAAGTTCTGTTTTCTCAAGTGAGTCTAAGCCTAATAGAATAACATTCTTTCTTACATGGATCACGAAAGGGGACATTTAGAATAATATTCTGCATTTGTTTCTATATAATTACAATGAATAAGACTAGAGCTTTTCAAGCTTCACTCTAAGGCTTTGTCCACATAAATTCAGATACATTTGAAAACACTTTTGGCCTTTCACCTGCACTGACATGGCATTTTTGTCCAGCAAAAAACTGACCTTTATTAAGATGCTCCCCAAGTGGATATATTTGAAAACACGGTTTTCACATTGGACTGTGAAAACAGTTATATGAAAACAATGACACATGTTTAGTCATGTAACTCATACAGTATTGTACCCATATATATCTATGGTTGTAAGGGCATTGTGCCGGCTGTTAACTTAAAAAAGGTCATATGATGCTTTTTTAATGTTTTCCTTTTCTTTTAGTGTGTAATGTATCTCTTTGTGCATATATAAGATCTGCAGAGCTATAAAGCTCTTAGTCTCCCAGAAAAGGGATTTATTCTAACAGAGAACACTTCTGCCTAAAATGCATTGTTCGCAATCCAGATCCTACTTCTGCAAATGTCTACGTCACAGTTTGAGATATTAGTGTAATGCCCACTCCAAGGCATAGGCAAAGCAAGAAGATGAGGCTTCAGTGAATTGTAGGATAGTAGTGTGTTCGATTGATTTGCTTGATCATCTGTATTTTCAGTTACATTTCATCATTTAAGATGATGGATATTTATGCACAATTGCTGGCTGCTGCAAAAGAGGATGACAGTTGTGTTTTAGAACATACATGGAATGTTGATTTTGAGTACGACCAGTGAGTGGTGGGATATTTTGCAAATAAAATGGTCATGCAGAACCAGAAAAATAGTCTGTTTTGTTAGTATCATCTCAGTGAGCTGTTATCATGTTTTGTGAGCGGTTTAAAAGAAATATGCCATTTTTAAATATATTTGGATTAATGTGGACATAACCTAAGAGGAATTCCGTTTAGACAGTTATGTCTCAGGTTAGGAATTTGGAAAACAAGCTAAATCTACTTTATCCAATAACATCCAACAAAAAAATATAGTTCAGAGCTGGTGTCTGAGCTGCTTTGCTCTTCAGCTAGTACATTATATACATCTGTCTGATGTATCTGTATTTTCTGCATTTGTTAATTCTGTTTCTATTTCCTCATCATTGTGCCATGTTTTATATGTGTTGTTTGTGAACATGACAACCTGTACCCCTGCAGAAGGTAAAATTTAGCATATAAATGCTGTCTCTTTAGCTCTCTCTCTCTCTTCCTCTAATATCACTGCTGTCCTGCAATACAAAAATTAAAATTGGATGCATGTTGGATTGGATGTGTGTGCGTATGAGAGGTGTGTGTGTGTGTGCACGCCAGCATGTTCAGTCTGTTGCTTTCTGCTGTACAGGACACAATCTCAGCACTGCATTGACTATTGAAAATAAATCCCGCTTCAGCTCTAGAGCCTTCAAACACCATCCAAACAAACTCAACCACCCCAACAGCATGACACATCTGTTTGCCATTTAAATGTTTTGACATCAGCTGGACTATTTGTCCTTTTAGTACTTATTTTATACTCTTAAAGGGACAGTTCACAAAGAAATTAATATTCTATCATTATTATTCTGCATTATCTCATGCCACCCTGGAAGAAAAGATTGTAAATTTTAAAGTTAAATGGTACACTTTGAGAGCAAAATTAAGAGCTCATAGAGCTTCATTATTATTATTATTATTATTACAATTAAGGCAGTAATATATTACCATTGTAATTCAATTGCACTGTAAAATAAATGTAAATGAAAAATGAATATTTCTTGCAAGATTTAAACCCTTAGGCTTCTATTTTGGTGGAAAACTGCAGTTTCTTTGAAAACAGGTTTACAATTGCATCTCAACAAATCTAGTAAGTTAATTCATTATTTTACTTTACAGTAGCAAAATTTGAGTACTTATGTCTTTCTTTCTTCACTTTCAGGAGTTAAACCCTCAGTATTTTATTTTTGGAAAAATGCTGTTCCCCTTCTATTGAACTCGCGCTGTGTCCTCTAGCGGACACGATGGGGACTGCCGCCAGCAGGTCCGGTGTCTGAAGCACGTGTGAAACAACTCCAATCCCACTTGGCCCATGTAGCCCGTTGACCTCACTATCGGGCTATCCGGAAGTATAAGAGCGCACCTGCCGAAAACGTCACCAACTTTAGTTGTCTTCAGGAGCCGTTTGTTTGACAGTGAGTGTGAAGGCATTATGGAAAAAACATAAAAGTTTGAGAGGGGTATGGACTTTTCAAAAGCTTCCGCTGCACGCTCGAGTGCTTGGCAGGATCCAGACACTCTTCCTCTTGGGTCATCTGATTCCACGGATAGCACTACATTGGGCTCATCTGGTGAGAGTAAGGACATGGATGTGATTGGCGATGACAATGAAAGTGTGAGCACTTAATCCTCCCAACCTAGCTCCAGTCCCGCATGCGGGGAAATGCTGGAGGTAATGGCGTGCGCTGCTAAGAGGCTTTATTTAGTCTAGTTACGTGAAAGGCAGAAGCTTTCCCGTGGCAGACTGGACAAGTGCTTTCTGTCCGGTCATGACTTCCCCTCCCCCCGGAGTTTCTTCTTTCTTCCTGACCTCCACACTGAGTTAGTGAGATCGTGGGACAGGCCATATTCGGCTCTGCTGCACCTTTTTAAGCATGCAGATTATGCTAATGTTGAGGGTGTGGCTGAGCCACGGATATGCGAAGATGCCCCCTGTAGAGGAGATGCTCTCGAGCTATCTCTCCCAGGGTGAGTCGTCTTCTTTAAAGACTCCTGCTCTGCCATCCAGACCACTTCAGACCACCTCACATCTGAATAGCAAGGGCTTATGTGGTATCAGGTCAAGCTGCTGGAGCCTTGCACACAGTGGCTGTGATCCAAGCTTACCAAGCTAACTTGCTTAGAGATCTAGATGAGGGAAAGGGTTTATCCCCTGAGGCAGTCGAGTAACTGCGCCGCACCACAGACTTGGCTTTTCACACCACTAAACAGACTGCTGCTGCCATTGGGCTTGCGATGGCAGCAATGGTGGCTACGGAGAGGCATTTGTGGTTAAATCTTGTAGACATCGGGAGAAAGGAGAAGGCCTTTCTTCTTGATGCTCCTCTTTCGCTCCTCTTTCGCCTGCCGGCTTTTCGGCACTTCCGTTGAGGCAGTGGTCGAGAAGTTCAGGGAGGGGAAGATGCAGTCCACTGCCTTCAGGAAGATCCTTCCCCGCCGTCCCAAGTCTTCCCCTAAAACCTCTAAGGAGGCTGGTCCGTCTCGATCTGAGGATCATAGATCAGAAGAGTAGAGTGGCCACTAGCACCCCTCCTCCTGCTAGGAGTCAGGCACAGAGGCTTGCAAGCACTAAGAGGAGAAGAGTGGATCTCAGGAATGTATTGGATGAGAAGCATTCCTGTTCTAAACCGTGCTGTGATTCTAACACTTCTTGATGCTCCCCACCCCCCACCCCCCTTTGAGTGTTTTTAGACCACTGCTTACATCGGGCTCCAATACTGGACTAATTATGTTCTTATGTGTTTCCCTTGCTGGCGAACTATTGACTGAAGGTCTGGTCTCTCCCTTGTGACGTGGGCTTTTTTCAAGTATTCTCAGTGATTGGGTGAGCCCAATGAGCCCTTTTTTAGCCATAAGATTTTGAGTCGATGGTCTACTTCCCTTTACACCTTAAGCTTAGTCAGGTAGTAGGGGTGGGCTGCCCCCCCCCCTTCCTATGGGGTTTTTAAGTGGGCAGTCCACCTAGGTCCTGCTTGCTGCTTTGGCTCATTAAAATTTAGCCTTCTGAGGATAGCTGTGTTCTTAGCTTGGTTATTGGGATGTCCCTCCTGATTGGCTGGGTTCCTCATTTTTTCATGTTATGTTAGTGGCCCTAGGCGTCAGTGGCTTGCCCCCTTTCTGAGGGAAGGTTCGCTGTATGTCTATCGCTTCCCTTGGTGCTTTCTTACCAGGTGAACAGGCATGTGCCGTGGCATGGCTTAGTGGGCATTCCGTTACCCATAGTGTCCGCTAGAAGATGCAGCACAAGTTCCATAGAAGGGGAATGTCTCGGGTTACACATGTAACCATTCTTCCCCGAGTGGGAATGAGATGCTGCGTCCCCTTGCCATGCCTAGCGCTTGCCTGTTTTCACATCTCCTTCAGACAACTAAGTTTGTGATGTATTCGGCAGGCCTGCCTGTGATGTCACAGGCTACGTGGGCCAATGGGATTGGAGTTGCTTCACACATGCTTCAGACACCGTTCTTGCTGGTGGCAGTCCCCATAGTGTCCGCTAGAGGACGCAGTGTCTCGTTCCCTCTCGGGGACAGGTTTACAGGTTACAGGTTTACAAACACATCTCATAACAAATCTAGTGAAATGCTGTAATAATCTGTCCACAGATATGCTGAAATTATGCAAATCTAAAAATAAAGTGTAACTGTCGCGTGTTGCATTCCCAAATGCAAGTTAAACTTGAACACAGTGCCACGCTTCATTCTGAGACAAGCCACACAACACTTATTTAATTAAATCACGGGTGTTAATTTTGAGTTTGCCAAAGAAATGGCGCAAAACAAAATGGTAGATATCTTTTACATCATGAGAAGTGTAAAAATATTTTTGGATGAAATCTAGGCAATTACTGGGAAACAATGAATAATAACAACAGAGTTTAGAACAATTTAATGGAGAATAAATAATGACAGAATTTTCATTTTCGGGTGAACTGATCCTTTAACAATGCAACAGGCAAAGACATCCATATGTACTATACATAGACTAAAAAGTGCAGGCATAACATAGTGTTGGAGTTTATTTGTTTGCTGTTTGTTGGGACTTGATGTTTATATTGTTGGTCCCATAAGGACACTTATCTTGCTTAGGCTGCATGCTGCTTAGTACCAGCACTAGCACCCCTCAGTACTCAAACTCTTAGCGATCAATGTAAACAAGACCCCAGGGACAATTTCTAAGTACTTGGCCTTTTCTGTTCATTACTAACCCACTTTATAAAAGTTTGCTTGTCTTGATGTGTATAATTGTTAATAATGAAAAAAATTGCTTACTGTTATTTACTGTTGTTTTTTTTGATTAAAAGTGGTACTTTGAGTGTAAACATTTAGTTCAGGTAACAAAGGCCACAACACATTGCTAAGTTTTGGGACTGATAAACAATCCAGTGTCTCAAGCCTGTACAAAGGCATGAATGCTAACACAATTCGGTTGAGAATTCGATTGTAACTACCTGGATTTTTTTTTCTATAAACACATACCTGTGACATCATTACATCAGTATTACTGTTTCTGTGCATTTCTTTTATGAAACTTTGCCAGGTAAATGTAGTAACCGTCCATTTTATAAAAGCAGTCCTGTGAAGCCATAGTTTACAGTGATTTTAGAAAGCTAAAGGTATTTCAGTAACAGTCACATTTATCATTGCTTTGTGAAATTTCGTGGATGAAATCCAGTTATTCTAACAGGAATTTGCATGATCAGGAGTTTTGCGTGAGAGCGAAAATGTTCCCACTGTAAACCGTGGCTTCTTGGGCTTATAGTTTTAGTAAAATGTGGTTGTCATTCCCATAAATAACTAAATGGTGTATAGAACAGGGTTAAGAACTCAAAAAGTGTAGTGACAACTGGATTTAATTGTAGCTTCAGTAAAATAACGTTGAGTTTAATTATGTTTTTGAATAGCTAATACATTTTTAGTTAGATCCTTGCTTCATTTCTAAGTCAAAAAGTGCCTCTGGTTAATCATCTGAACACCTACCATGGCTTGTATGTTAAGTCTGCCTTGGCTGTAATTCCCAGTTTGACCTGCTGGTGGAGCTGTTCCAGGATGAGGAGAAAGCTAAAAGTCCGACTGGTGCTGCTCCTGCTACTGGAGGACGCACTCGTCTCAGCGTCAAACCAGTCAAGAACAAAGCAGGCAAAGCCAGCAAGGAACACAAGAAGACAGTCGGACTGCAGGTGAAAGACTACCTTCATCTCATCTTATTTTCACTTTTATTGAATATCGTTATCTTTGAATAAGCACTGACAATCGATGAGAGTAAAAAGAGTCTAATTTGAATGAATGTTTGCATTTCTCTCTTTCTGTAGTTCCGGAATTCTCTGCAGCTTCTGATGGAGACACTGAATGCGACTACACCACATTACGTTCGCTGCATTAAACCCAACGATTACAAATATGCCTTCACGTCAGTTCTTCGGTTTTTAATTGAACTATCTGTTTTGTTTTGTTTTTCTCTCTGAGCATACACATGCTGTGATCATAAGATGAGATTCTCTTATCTTTTTTAATTGTCAGTTTTCTAATATGTTGACTAAAGAGGTGTTCACAACAACAGGGATTTGCCTGGAAGTCATTCATTTTCAGTGAGAGTTGGCGATATGATATTCCAGCGACAGTGACCATTGGTGACACAATATTCAGTGCTTCCCAAACCTGTCCTGCAGGCCCCCCTGCCCTGCACCTTTTGTATGTCTCCCTTATCTAACACACCTGATTCCACTCATCAGCTCATTAGTAGAGACTGCAAGAATTTTGAAGATTGCTGGTAATCAAACAGTTGGTGGTTGCCATTGACTTCCATAGTAGGAAAAAAAATAATGTGGAAATCAATGGCAACCACCAACTGTTTGATTACCAGCAATCTTCAAAATAGCTTATTTTGTGTTCAGCATAAGAAAGCAACTCATACAGGTTTGGAACAACATGAGGGTGAGTAAATGATGACATAATTTTCATTTTTGGGTGGACTATCCCTTTAAAAGACTGGGCCAGCTGACCAATCACAGCACACTGGCTTTTCAGAAATGCGGGCTTTAAAGAAATAGGAACTTAAACAAGAGTGTTTCAGGCAGAGGGCAAAATGAGGTGCTGCAGCTATGTAAATTATGAGAAAAATATGTTGTAAAGGTCTTCTAGCAGACCCCAAAATATGTAAGTCCTCTATGCCCCGCCTCTCTCAAACGCTTTGTTTTCTACAAAGTCCCTCCTTCCGACAAGCGCAGTCTGCTCTGATTGGCCAGCTGACCCAGTGCATTGTGATTGGCCGAACACCGCAAACACTCGTCGGAAATGTAACGCCCCTTACCATAATCGCGAGCTTCATCTTTCAAAATAAATGTAAAGACAGAGCCCGGAAAGGGAACAGAGTCGCGTGACAGACACAGTGATGAAGCTGGTATGTGTTTGCAGTACACAAGCCACGGTTAAGACAGCTGACTCCACTGTGATGTGACCCCCTCTCTCTCTCTCTCTCTCTCTCTCTTGCGATCTCTCGCTCGCGCACACACGCACACGATGCGCAAAACTCCGCATTTGAACAGTCAATAGCAAATACTTCAACTAATAACAAAACAGTAGCTGATTCAGAAGCGCCAGATTGTCATAGCAAAGTCAGAATTACCTCCTCTCCTAGGTTCACAAAACGGTCGTCCATAAAATGCATTGCTGTTCTGTTGTAAGTAATCTTAAAGATTCCTAAATGCATCTACTTTCGGAAGGCCAAATAAAGTGCTTTTGCTTTCGCCTAGAAAAATGACTGCTTCAACACTAACTGTGGTTACTGAAACCATGCCTTCTTTCTTTGCGTGAACATTTGGGCGGCATTACGCAAATATTTCCACATAGTGAGGTAGATATGTGGGGGCGTGTTAGAACGAGCCGTTTTAGGGGGGCGTAGCAGAGTCTTATATTAGATAAAGTATATCTCTTTGGTTTTGAGACTTTAGTCTTTGCAACTTCAGGGATCTTATCTATGCACAATCAGCTTGTAACACTCCAAAGAGAAAGGAAAACATGAAATCGCATCATATGATCCCTTTAATAGACAATTTTAAGCATGCACCAGCATAAGCAGTACTTCAAATGAAGTGCACGAAAAAAAACTTGATTCATTCTCACAGTTGAATCTTAGCTATTAATCATAAAAAATATGTAGCACATTCATTACAGAAACAATTTTACCCAATAAAAATTAAACTAGATTTCTATCAACTCCATCTGGCATTTACAGGACAATTATTTTACATATAAAGCTGTAAAGTGAGTAATTAAAGCTGTAGTGATTAATTTCTGTGACACTTGCACCACTAGCAGTAGTATTGTTCATTAATTATTTTAGTACTTAGGTTAGTATTAGTATTTTGATTATTTTCTTTCAAGTAATGATTTAAAAAAAAATTTGTTTTAATTAATGAGAGTACCCATGGTAAATATATTGTCCTGGTCATGGAGTCATGGTGAAATGCTCAAAAGAGCAATATGACAGCTCCAAAGTGTCCAGTTCTCTTCACAAATTGAATCTGGTAATTTCATACTTTCAGTTGTCTCTGTTGTCATACTTTCAGTTGTCATAGTTGACTCTGTTTTGAACTATTTTATAACCGTAAATTTAGCAGAATTGATGGTGAGCTATAGAAACGCAGTGTTGCTAGGCTGATATCTGATTTCTGTCATTACCAGGTTTGACCCCAAGAGAGCAGTGCAGCAACTGCGTGCATGTGGAGTTTTGGAAACAATCCGCATCTCTGCAGCTGGTTTCCCATCTAGGTACTGTGAAGATCTATACCAGGGGTGCCCAAACTCAGTCCTGGAGGGCCGATGTCCTGCAGAGTTTAGCTCCAACCTGTCTCAACACACCTGCCTGGAGGTTTCTAGTATGCCTAGTAAGAACTAGATTAGCTGGTTCAGGTGTGTCTAATTGGGGAAGGATCTAAACTCTGCAGGACACCGGCCCTCCAGGACCGAGTTTGGGCACCCCTGCTCTATACATTACCATACTGCACTCCCTTTTGTCAAACACCTCCTGACTGTATATTTGTGTTTTTGTGACTGCTTTTGCTTGTCAGGTGGACGTATCAGGAGTTCTTTAGCAGGTATCGTGTCCTGATGAAACAAAAAGATGTTTTGACAGACAGGAAGATGACCTGTAAGAATGTTCTGGAGAAACTGGTGCAGGTACAAGAAGCCAATTCAGTCACCTCATAAAACTACCGATACTCTGTATAGACTTGGTGCAAAGGCCATAATATAATAGGCTCTTAAAACTAAAACTACTCGGAATCATAGCAAGCAGCAAAATGCCAGAATTTGGCACTACTCATATTTTCTGTACAAAGTTTGACTGATAAATAATGATAAATTAATTCTCTCCACTTTTTTTATCCTCCTAATAGGACCCAGATAAGTACCAGTTTGGCAAGACCAAGATCTTTTTCCGCGCAGGGCAGGTTGCGTATCTGGAGAAACTGCGTGCAGATAAGCTGCGTGCTGCCTGCATCCGCATACAGAAGACCATACGCTGCTGGCTGGCGCGCAAGAAGTACCTGCGCATGAAACATGCTGCCACAACCATCCAGAGATACGTCCGTGGATACCAGGCCCGCTGGTGAGGGGGAGGGGACTTATCCCATAGTGGGTGGGGCCTGACTAAAGTTATGAAAAACAGAATTATTCAACATAAGCTTACAGTGAGCAACAGTACCCGCCCACTTTTTTTTTCCATTCATTTTTTTATAGAGATTTACAGAAAGTCTTTTAAATGTCAAAAACCAAACAGCTACAAAGTGAATCAAAACATTATAAACTTAGGATTTTAAGCAAAAATGTATGACAAAAAGACAAAGGTACAATGCTGTGTACCTAATGGCTTTAATGAGGGAAAGAACTACAATCGCATTAATCATTCCGAATGGCAATCAAATAAAAAAGTAATGTCGTTATTATAAATATAAAACTAATTGATTTAAAGGTGTTGATTATGTAAATGCAAAATATGCACATATATATACAAATATTAAGAGCATAGGGAAACTGACTCAACTACATCATTTGTGGCGATTCATTGGAGCAGGTGTTCGCTTCAGAGATCGTTTGGTGCAATTTGCTCGCCACATCTCTCTAAATGGTGGAATTTGCTTTTGCAGAATCATTGGTAATGTAGTTTTTCACCAGGAGTTACACTGGTAGACATGATTCTTTGAAAAACAAGTTGAAATAATGTGAACTGATGGCTTCAGCAAAAGCATATGCTATCAGTTAACAAGCCCATTTCCCTGCTGAGAAAATAAAAGGGATTTTTATTTCCGGAACCCAGCTCTTGCACTTTATACTGTTTTTAAGTGAGAAGGTGCTGGTGCACAAGTAGTAACCTCTGTGTTGTTCTTCCTTCCCCACAGTCTTGCGAATTTCCTGCGACGCACACGTGCTGCGATCGTCATTCAGAAGTACCAGCGCATGTTTGTCCAGAAAAAATGTTACAAACGCAAGCAGGCTGCTGCTCTGGCCATGCAGTGCATCCTCAGGGCATACATGGCCAGACAGCTGTACAAAGCGGTGAGGAGGAAACCAGACATACTAATACACTCTTCTCACATTATAAATATATTTGTCCCAGTCACAAACACACGGCTCACAAACACTACTGGTCTCATTACTGTCTTTTTACGTACATATTTTTTCCAATTTAGTTCTGTTATGACCTTAACATTTAAACAAACACTCTGACACAGGTTATAAATTGATATACATAGGGGTAAAATATGATGCTGGTTTATAATTAACACACTGGAAACAAGTGAATTATTTCAGGCATGAGACACATGAGTAGTGAAAGCTGCTAACTACACACTGAAGTCAGAGTGGTTTAAAGGCAGTGTTTCTAAGTGACTGATTTTAATTTACACTACCGTTCAATAGTTTGGGGTTAACAAGTATTTTTAAAAAGAAGTTAAGAATTTAATTCAGCACGGATGCATTCAATTGTTTAAAAGTGACAGTAAAGACTTTTATATTGTTGCAAAAGTTGTATTTCTAATAGATTAATAATTATAAATAAATCTAGATTTATCCGATTAAGCCACTACTATAAAACATTAATGTGAAATATCAATAATATGATAAAAAATAAAATAAAATATAGAGTGACTATTTATCTTTAAAAAGAACAGCGATAAACATGATTTATGCCGACCACAATGTGTTTTTAAATGTTGCTTTTTAAAAAAATGATTATTAATTATTGACTGCCAAAAGTATAAAACCACTGAAATTAAATTTTATGTGTTTGAACACTCTAGACTATTGGCATGCGAAGAGAATCTGCCATTAGATAGTATTAAGTAAACCACGAAAGTAGCAATTCTGTCTCATTCTGAGGTCTTTCCTTCAGATTCTTTCTACTCCAACCAGTGACTAGCAAGCTAGTGAAATACTAGAATGGAGTTTTTAAAGTCTCGGGAAGAAGATAACACAGTGTTGCGATGACCTCATGTCTCCTTCTCAGTGTGTTTAGCCATGTGATCTCACAGGGAGCAGGTTGTTCCAGTGTAGGGACTGTCCCACTGACAGACCACAGCAGCTGCGGCTGTATTATTACTCTTACTGTCTCTTTCTCCTCTCTTTCCTTGCCGTCCGAGCTCTGTTGATCAGCAGTACATTATCGAGGCAGGATGTGTAATATCTGCAAATTAAAAAGGCAGAAGGTGTGAGAGAAAAAAGCAATTTGAGAACATTTCACTGCGCTTTCACTGGACTCATCTCTACTTTGCATTACATTCTTCTTAACTCTTGTGTGTATTTGTGTTTTTCATCGTGTGTTATTGTGTGTTTGCTTAGCTTCTACGTGAGCACAAGTCCATCATCATTCAGAAGATGGTCCGTGGCTGGTTGGCCCGACAGTGGTACAAGAGGACACTCGAAGCCATTGTTTACCTGCAGTGCTGCATCCGCCGCATGCGAGCCAAGCGAGAACTCAAGAAACTCAAGATCGAGGCACGTTCGGTGGAACACTTCAAAAAACTCAACATTGGCATGGAGAACAAGATCATGCAACTGCAGCGCAGGATAGACGACCAGGTACTACACTTCACACTAAGATGCTTTGGCTTATTCTGCCTCACTAAAAAGCTTAGAATGAAATCATAATTGTCATTTCTGGTCTTCTTGTGCACAATTCATCAGTGCATGTTTTTCTTAAAAAAATGTTTTATTTGTTATCGTAAATAAAATGTGATAGCTTGCTCTGCCCATGAAATTAAATTTATATTCGGCTGATGCCATCTTACTTTTCATCTTCCTTCCATCCGGCCAGCTGCTATATAGATGCTACTTTTCACAATCAAATCCCACCTTATTTTATTTCATTGAATATATGCCAAGTTCTGTCATGAAACCCTAGATGGCGCAGAACATCTGAACAGCATGCAAACTGATGATATTCACTAGTTGGCACAAGTTTATTATTTCATGTTGCATATGCAGCCAATTGGCTTGCAGCTTTGCATTTAAATTGCTGGTTAACATTCACTAGAGCATTTTGCAGTGTGCCTTCAGAGTTCCTCTGAAACCCTCCACCTTCCCCAGCTCCACTTTATCGATCTGCTACGGGTTATTTTATATGCTATTTGTGCAGCAGCGGTATGTCTTAAATACGCACAGCATCATATCTGCGTATGTATTGGCAGTTGCAAGTTCCTGTACTTGCTTTGCAGCAGCAGCAGCAGCAGCAATAATCTACAACAACAGCAATGACCAACAGCAGCGTAGCAGATCTATTCCGCCAATACCAAATACATTAATATTTTCATATCCATTACCATGCTAAAATCTTCTGAGAGTTGTCATGATAGAACTTTATTTCATCAAAAAGACATCAGGTTATGGAAGAGAAACGGGTTGCAAGCACCCTTTCTTGTTGAGATGTCAGTGTTAACATGTATTAATTTCTTTAGAATAAGTCAGAGTCTGTTAGCTGGGCGTGATCACATCATCTAGATCTGGGCTTCCCTGTGTAGAATCTTTGTTTAAGTGTGTAAATACATTTAAGCATGCTTCACTTTGTCAGACAGGTTCTATTTAAGTGATTTCTTGATTCAACAGGTCTGGCAGTAATCAGGCCTGGGTGTGGCTAGTGAAATTTAACTCAGCTTTCTAAAATAATGTGGTTAATTGCAGTTCTTTCATGATTTAACAGGAGGGGGCAATTCATTTTTCACGTAGGGCCACGTAGGTTTGGACAGCTTTTTTCCCTTAATAAATGAAATCATCATTTAAAAACTGCATTTTGTATTTACTTGCATTATCTTTGTGTAATATTTAAATTTGTTTGATGATCTGAAACATTAAAGTGTGACAAATGCGAAACTGAGCAGATTTGGTTCAGAAGTTTTTATGTATATGCCAAAAAGTATGATGGCTGATAACTTGTAATTTTAATCAATGGGATTTTTTATAACAGTATAGCAGACTACGTATATTAAATGCATGTGAACATCAGTTGGAAGTATGTATTTTTCAATAATATGCCTCAGTAAGATGATATTATGATGATATTATTTATGATATTTGCTTAGTTTTTTGAACAAAGCTCTGTAGTTTTAGTTGTGGGGGCAAAACATATAATGAAACGCAATACAGTGATGATTGAGAGATGTACAAATAAATGTTACACAGAAGCCTGTTATATCATATTTGATACATTTAAACATGATTTCTTATGGATAATCAAGTAAACCTTAGTTGCTCCAGTTTAGAAAATGTTCATCTTGAAATATTACTAAAAATATGAAAGTTATTATTATGTTTACTTCATAAAAATCATTAAAAATTGCACAGCAAAAAGACATGTACCATGACCTGAAGGTGGAATATACTAAAAGGACTTCTACATACTAAAAAATGAATGAACTTTCAATCAGAGTGCAGAGAGTATGTTTTTCAATAAAGTTTTGATCATGCTGATAATTTATAGGCCTTATAAATTCATGTATCAAATATGATACCTTAGGCTTTATAGTGTTAAGTACAATTAATTGATGTTCTGTTTTGGTTTCACTCTAGAACAAGGAGAACCGTTCTCTCAGTGAGCGTTTGAACAGTCTAGAGATCAGCCATGCAGCGGAGTCCGAGCGTCTGCGTGTGGAATTGACGCGTCTGCGAGGGGCAGAAGAGGATGCCAAAAACAATGCCAACAAAGTTACATCTCTTCTGGAGGAGCTGGAGCGACTCCGCAAAGACCTACAGAACACACAGAAGGAGAAGAAAGCCATCGAGGACTGGGCACAAACCTACCAGGACGAGATGGAAAAGGTGCTGTTAGTTCAGATATGTAGTTGTGTGCTGCTGTCTGTGATGTGCCTGCACTGGTGCAGACTTCACAAAGCACTTTACAAAAATCTGAGGGCGATTGGCTAATCGGTTTGTTTGTGTCATTTGAAAAAAACTCTAAAAATGAACTGATTCATTTATGCATTAAGTCATCACCCAGTTATGTTCCTAAGAAGGCAATTCATTTGGACAGCGAACTGATTCACAAAACTCATTCATCTCCCATTGGTGTTCCTTTAATTAAAGAGGGTTCATTTGAATGGGTCATTTCCGTGAACTGATTCATAAAACTGATTCATTACTCATTCATGTTCAGTTGATCAGTACATTTTGATGGCTTATGTCAACTGAATCAAAATAGGGATTAATTAAATGTTCCACACTACATTTATGGTTCCATGTCCGAAAGTTCTCCCGTACTCATTTGCTAAATCTTTTTCAAATTTGTTTAACAGAATAATTACTAAGAACCAGTTAAAAATGTCTTAATTTCCAAATTATTAGTACATGACTCATATATAAATGAATCATTTATATACACTAGGTGTGTGCTGAAATGTGTGTCGAGTGTTCATACAAAACCTCATTGATGGTGTGGCATTACGTTAGCAAATTCCAGCTCCACAGCAGATCCCCCCAAAAAGTTAAAGGAACACTCCACTATTTTTGAAAATAGGCTCATTTTCCAACTCCCCTAGAGTTAAACAGTTGAGTTTTACCGTTTTCAAATCCATTCAGCCGATCTTCGGGTCTGGCGGTATCACTTTTAGCTGTAGCTTAGCATAGATCATTGAATCTGATTAGACCGTTAGCATCTCGCTCAAAAATGTCCAAAGAGTTTCTATATTTTTCCTATTTAAAAAACTTGACTCTTCTGTAGTTACATCATGTACTAAGACTGACGGAAAAAGAAAAGTTGCGATTTTCTAGGCCGATATGGCTAGGAACTATACTCTCATCCCAGCGTAATAATCAAGGAACTTTGCTGTCGCACCATGGGTGCAGCAGGCGCAATGATATTA